TTTTTAATGGTATAGTAGATGGTATCATTAAGAAACGTAGACAAGAAATCGAAAATGGGTCACCTGTGAATTTTAATATCTTAGATCTACTGTTAGTTTCCAACACGCCACGTGATATTGAAAATTTTGAAGATGAACCGCCTATGAATGACATTGGAATTAAAGCCCTTTTTGCTGAAGCTATTGCTGAAACTATTGCTGCTTCAGTCGAAACGGTTGGTTTATTTTTTTATTTTTTTTTATTTTTTGATCGAAAAGTGTAACAAAAAAGATTATAAATTTATTATTAATGTGAACCCAAACGATTGACTGATAATTAGGTTAGCAGTGCCGTTTATTTCTTTATAATGTGGCAAAAAATCCAAAAGTTCTTGAGAAAATCCGTGCAGAAATTCTTGACGTCTTTGGTCTGGACAAAAATTTGACAATTCCTTATGAAAGCCTTGAAAAATGTCATTATATTGATGCAGTAGTCAATGAGTCTATGTATTCCAAGGCTCCAGCACCAGCAAATATGCGTATTATTGAAGGCGATGAAGTTATAGGTGAACATTATTGGCAATCTGGAACTTGGTTCTGGGTTAATAATGATCGTATAATGAATCATCCAAATAACTGGAATGAACCTGAGTATTTTAATCCTGATCGCTTTCTTAATAAAGAACTTGGTGGCACTTGTGAGAAAATACGAAAGAGTATGCTTATACCATTTGGTGGAGGTATAAGAATGTGTCCTGGCCGGCATTTAGCGCTCATAAAGATTAAAATTATCAAAATTTTATTCTATAGAAAGCATAATTTTGAGTTAGTAAATGAAAAGGAGGCAGTCAAATATTATTTTAATGACTTAAAATGATTTTATAATCGTAAATAGCTCAAATTATTTAACTTTATATTGAGATTGGATTCCAACTGTTTATACTTTGCTAAAATCTTACATTTTTGCGTATATTGTATATTTAGCAGAATTAATAAGTATTATAGAATAAAATAAGCATAATTATACAGTATTATAAATAAGAGTTGCGCGACGCAGTCGTGCTAAACCAGGAACGGTTGATATATCGCAAATTAGCCTTAAAATGACACCCAGATAAAAATCCCAACAACCAAGAAGAGGCTGAAAAGAAATTTAAAGAAATTTCGGGAGCCTATTTTGTTTTACAGTTAATATTCTAGAAATTTAACTAGATGATCTTTATAATTATATTGCATAGCTCTTAGATAAATATTTATACAAAATGATAATAATTTGAATATGCCAAAATTCATTCGTTGATTTATATAAATATATATATATATATAATATAGTAAGTACTTTAAAAAGTTTATAAAAATGTGATAGTTTATCATTGTTAATGGACGACTATATTGATTTTTTCTTTTCTTTACAAAAAAATTCTATTCAAATAAAAACAGGTTGAAGTGGAACAAGAATTAACAAAGAGCGAAAATAAAAAAAGTAAAGAATGAAATACAATTTATAAAAACAATAAAATGTTCAATATTGGAATTATTATCGTTGGTAACTAAGTTAATTTGAATTTGTTTATGATTTTTGTTTTATCATTATTGATTTCGCTAATACCATCTAGCCACTGTGGAGCAACAACCTGGTACACATTTCCGGATTCCATTGTCAGTGACGATGATTTTTTGCGGTGTTATTTATTTATTTTTTAAAAATAAACATCACCGCAGAAAATTATCGTTATTGAATTGGTATCACAAGCTAAATATTTTTGTGACATGATAGTTACCGTTACCGTTACAACGTATATATATTGAGTAATTTTAATAGTCAATGTTTGCCTATGACTTGTTATGACCATTGCCAAAACTCATTGTGGCTTAAAAATTATGTTGACTATTTTGGTTGAATATTATCTAGAACGGTCAGCTCTGATAATGATAATTATATTATGATACAAAGTCAATTATTGTATAATGATAAATGTATCTGGTGTATCTGGTATGTGTACTCCGATTACGCAGTACATGCGTAAAATTATTCCTTACGATATGACATATAATATGACACATAAGATATAAAAGAGTTTATGAGATGAGCAATTATTCTTTAACTTTAAAAAATGTCGTTTATAGTAGATGAAAGTTATATACCTCAAAATCGACAAGATTTGTACGATGCTGTTCTCAATGTATTATTTCCAATCACTTTCGTTGTTTTACTTAATGTTAGAAAAGAAATGAAAATGAATGAAAATAATAAAGAATTGAAAAACAGTAAAACCGAAATTGAAAATCTTGAAATCTGTGAAACTTTAGTTGATGGACAAACAAAAGAAATGAATAAAAATGAAGAATCAACATTTAAAGAAATAGCATTGCCATTACTGGATGATGTATTATATAATATCGTTACCTGGATGATTCCATTAATAGTTTCTTTTGCCTACAAAGACATTTTAAGCATGAAAATATTTTCTTTAATAAACATGTGTTTACACTTATCATGTACTGTTATGGCAATTTTTGCTAAACTTTTAGCCAAAAAATATCGTATGAAATTCTTTGGAGATAGCGTAGAAAAAAAAGGATTCTGTTGGACGATTAAAGATCTAAAAATAAATGATGATCATGGTTACGGTATGAAATTCTATAGTGATAATGTAGTAATAAATGGATTATTTCATTTGAAAATTAAAGATCCAAAAATAAATGAAGGTAAACGTCCACCTTATTGTATAGTGATTTACGTTTTCTTAGTATTCTTTCCAGTAGTTGCTATTCCAATATTTTGGATTACTATTATTCTTAAAAATGGTCTTGAGCCAATTAATTTGGTTTTTTTAATTCTATTTGGTATATTAATTTTAAATTTTGTTATTTTTTGTATTTATTATGTATTTATTAAATGCTTTGAATGTTTTGGATGTTTTGATCAAACATATATTTCTTTTATATTGCTTTTTATTGCATTTTATGTACCAAATATTTTACAAACAATAATTATTCTGCTAAAATGGCCGATTAATTTTTATTTTCTCAAAGCATGTGTATTTATACAAATTATGTCTTTAACAAGAAGCGTAAATTATTATACTGAAGAATTACCTGATAATTTTCTAGCTACTTCAACTTCAATAATTCAACATAGTTTATATATTGAGTTTCTTCATCTAAAAAAATATCATAGAAAAATTGGTGGCGAATAAGTTTTTTTCAAGTTATTTGTTTAGCACTTTAAATTGAATCCAGCAATAAACATGTTTAGTACATTATATAATTTATGAAAAGACAAGCATAAATTTAATTTTCTGTTAGACGTTTGAAAACGACATTTCATGTTTTTTAAAAGAAACATTTATAATTCACATATTAGTATGCACCTATTTCAAAGCATAAATGTGATTTTTAAACTCTACGTATTATTTTAGAGATAAGTTAAATTTGATCAACAGACCGTAGCCTTATAATCCAAACAAGAAACGCATCGGGCAAATGCAGTGAGCTATTATTAATTTTTGTGTATCAAAATATTAGAATTTAATGTAGGCAGCTTACAGCAAATCAATGTAATTTCTTTAATTTTTACTGCTAGTTATGTTAGTGTAAATTAAAATTTTAAATAAAATTATTATACATAATAGCAATTCTCATGTTTTAGCTTAAGAATTATTTCACCCAAGTTTGGCCATCAATAGTAACAAAGGTCAGGCATTTATAGACAAATTCTTGTAATTTTTACTCTAACATCAGCTAGTCATGAGTTAGTTGCATTGGAATTGTTATAATTTTTATTTGATTTACTATAAAAATTCTATACAATATGTAATTAAGTTTATATTGGAATTGACATGATTTATATCATAAAAATTTTGTTGCAACGTTTATGGCTATTGCGTGGGACATAGTATGTGATGGAATTATGGTCATGATTATTTAAAGATGAGCCGAATCGGGTTAGAATTATGGATGATACACGGTTTGTAAATTATAAAAATGTCGCAATAGTTACAGATTTGATAAAATTTAAATAGTTTAAATGGAGAACTCAGAATTAGATAGTTTTAGAAAAATGTCGCAATAATTACAGATTTGCAATCACGTGGATGATCAATTAGAAAATTGCAGCAACAGTTATAGTCATCGAGAATATCGTAACAATTACTACATTTTACCAATTACAGGTAACCAATAAAACCCGTTTAAATGGACGAACTCTGAATTAGATGGTTTGAAAATTCGTTACGAAACTTACGAGCTTTGTGGTACATACAGTAATAGTTGAGTTAATTTGTATTGGAATTAACAGTCATAATTTCTATCAGGATACTATAAAATTTTTATTAAAATTGTTATTGTGGTATTTAGTTGAGTCGGTTTGTATTGATAGAATTGATGGTCGTAATTTCTAACACAGTACAGTATGTTTTTATTAGAATTAATAAGTAGCTGCGCAACACAGTTGCGCGAAACCAGGAACGGGAAAGTAGAAATTAGAATATTATATATCATAAAGAGAAGTTTTTAAGGTTATCAGTAAGCGTTTATCCATTTAAATACATTTATAATGCTTAATATTTGTATAGGATATTTAAATTACCATTTGTGCTTATTTTATTTTAAATATATTTTACGCGACAGTACAATTTTGTCATAAAAAAAAATCTAATTTAGTAAATTTATTTGTACATTGCCATTTTATTCGCTTAATACTGTATCGGTATATCGATTGTTGAATTTGACGGGTTACCACGTGGTATTCTATAACTATTATATTCTAAATCAAGTAAATAAAATGAGAATAAAGCACATTTGCTAATTTCTCTAAGGTCTGACTAGCATTATTATTCTTGCCAATTTATCTGTCACCTAACGATTAAAATGAGATACCTCTGTTAGAGTGTGGGGTTAGGGTTAGTTGGCGACATTATACTAAAATTTTGCAATGAATTTCTTTTTGTTAGTGCATAAAAGATGCTTTTTTAGATGAAATGTGCAATAAGTGTAACTTTTCAAAAAAACAAGTGATTGTTGTTTTGGTCATCACATTATACCTGATCCTGCATTATGATTGGAAATATCGATTAGTAAATGCGAATAAAGCAAACCACTGCCAGCAAAAATCAGGTTTATTAAAAATACTAACATAAAAAGGTAATCAAAGGATGTACACTTGAATATTTAACAGAACATAATTGGCAAAGTACATAATAACCAGCAGTATATATTAAAATTTCATAATTATAAACAATAGCTACTTAGATAATTGTAAAGAGTAACATCGCATAACTGCACACACATACACTGAAACAAAATTTGAGGTATTAAAGTTAGTAAATCAAAAACATGCTAAACCGGAATAATGGGTATTGCCATGGGAACAGACAGGATTTTAAGAGGTAAGATGATTTGCAATGACCTTCTGCAAAAAAGTAATTGTCATAGTTAACTTTGGTGCCCCAGATATTCATAGTACAAGGGTTAGGATCATGATTGGGATTTACATGAATGGTGTGATTTGGGGTTGTACTAAATTAATTAAAAATTAAATTAGTGATTGCATGAACAATGTAGTGATTAGTAATGATAGCAATTGCATGAGTGATAGGAAAGTATATAATAATTAGTGATGCAAAAATAGCAATTAGTAATTAATATAAGGTATCGATCCCGAAAGGGAAAGTATTTAGCTTCTTAGCTGGTAAGCTTTTGAACTTGGTAAGCTTTGATAGCTTTGAGAATTGAATTTGCTTAGTGAAATGAACTTAGTGAATAAACTATTACCTGTGTGAGCATATTATAATCAGTGGAAGGACCTGTACGATACATGGTTATCAGATATATTAGCCAAGCTAGTAAAGACCGATAGTAAAGATTAGTGCTCCGAACAGGTCAGATTAACAATTTTCAGGTTAGAGCTTCAACCTGAACCGAATCTGACCTGAAATTTTAGGGCTAATATATTAAATTTTTTATAAATGAATTCAAATAGCCTTTTTTGCTCCTAAATATTTAATAATTCATGTAACGATGATCATCAAAGTTGGATAATCAAATCTAAGCATGGTATGCTTATAAACTCAGTGGGCTACTAAAGTAAGAATTGTGTATTGCATATTCAAAAACAATGAAAGTTTTTTTTATCATTATCCTATGGATTTATGGAATTAATATAAAAAACTTTATTGATTTGCTGTTAAAAAATTATTTTTCGAAGTTAAAGAATTTAGACAACTGTTAAAACAAAGTTAGCAGTTAAGTTTTTTCAAACTTTGATCGATTAGGATAGAAAAAGTATATAATATTATTACCAAGGATTTTTAATTTCATTGGCTTGAGATATCAACAAATATGCACCAATCAGATCTCTTCAATGAGTCAAACTAATTTCAATACGTGTAATAATCCAAAGTAAAAAATATACATTAAAGTAAGATTAGAAATTAGAATTTTTTTATATAAGAGCGCAGAATGTGGTCTCATAGTCGAAATTTCAAGTAATGTATCGACAGTTTCTTAAAAATTGTGATTTTCATCAATTTTAATTGGCTAAGAGCGATAAAAAAAAAATTTGGAAGGAATTACTCAGATGTAACCACAGAGCCTATTAAGTAAAATTGGTTCTGGGTCAATTTTACCATAATGTGGCCAAAAATTCCTATTTCTGTAATAAAAAAAAATAAAAAATCAATTACAGCCAGAAATTAGTAAACAATTATGTAATGTTGGCCAAAATTTGCAAATGTGCGGCTGTTAACCAATCAAAAATCAAGTGCCAATATTGCATACTTGACTGTTTTATTTAAAATATTATTTAAAAATACATATATACTTGCTATTAGAACCAAAAAAAATAACATAAAATGCCAATTTTACGCATCTATAAATTGGATAATTTTTGGGTCAGATATTTCTAACCCGAACCCGACCTGACCAGGAATTTCGGGTTGGAGTTCAGATTGATCAAACCCAATTTGGGGTACTAGTAAAGACCAAGAAGCATACACAGTAGTCCAAGATAAGCCATGACAGTAATACTAACCAAATAACTCATACAGGAAGATCCCCAAATTCCTGGTCAGAATGCATCAGAATCCTGGTCGGCAGGGCCAGAAATGATTGATTTTGCCCAAAATCACTAAGAATTTTACTAATGAAATTGTGGCTATTTATTAAGTAAAAAGTACCCAGCTGATAATTTTGCTATAGAACCTACTAACCACTAGGGCTAAATGCCGACCTAAATCCGACCAGGTATTTTGGGGATTGCTCTGTAAAAATCCTAACCAAATATAGTATGAGTTGAGAATTATGGAGAGAATGTGATTCTATATCAACAATTACCAGTTCAACTCAGGATTATTACAAGGCATTATGTAATATTTATCAAATAGGCAAATTCTTAGGGGTTTTTTTTAGTCAACAAAGAAACTAAAATAATAAGTTAATGTGATTTAGCTTAGTTATAAAAGGTTACAAATTAGAAGACGATAGAACAATATTTTTGATTCATATTGCATTTTTCATGAAGTAATTATATAATTGATATATCATTACTATGCAAAGTAGTATATTATTGCAATAGTTTAAAATAGTTAACGTGTATCTACTTATTTGTGCCAGTAATACAAATCTCTAAAAAAAAAATGGCCAATCAATGAACACAAATTTCAGGTATTCTGAATCAGCCTGACATAGAATCTGAACACATGCGAAAGAAAAAAAAAAAGCAAAGAAAATGAAAATACTCAAAAACTAGTATTTAAATTGACATTTGTAGACTAATAAAAAATAACAGGGATGAAATTTTATATATAAGAAACACCAGCTTATCACCAAAGCTCACAACCCTAATTTCTCAATCCTAAACTTCTATTTTTACGCACTTAGTTTATTTACAAAATTGATTTTCTTTTTTGGTTTATGTTACCGG